GCACGTAGACGAGGGGTAGGGAGAGATGGCGTTATTTTTTAGTATTATTTTTATTATTATTATTTTTTTTTTAATCCGATTAAAAACGTCAGAGAAACTTCGAGCAGATAACACGGTTTTAAAAAAAAAATCGCGATGACGTTTTCGCTCTCCTCGCAGCACTATCAGTGTACAAACACTCGGCACTTTTTTTTCGATCGGCCCGAAACTGTTTTTTTTCTTTTCCTCCCGCCCCGTCGCATTATTATATCGTCGTATACATAATATTATTATATACCCGTGGTGTTTGTGTATATATAAATAACGTGGGTGTAATTTTATCTCTATACATAATATATAGGTAGTTTCGTTTACCGCCTCTTAGGGCCAAGACCAGATTGTTTTTTTTGTACGGAGACGTATGCACAATTATTAGGGGCATGGTCGATCTATAATTTCAGTGTAGATTTGTTTATTACGACTAACTAAAAAATTCGTATATACGTTACGAATCCGTTAAGTTTTATCGCATGGAAATCGCTGTAAATACGCCTAAAAAAAGACACCATTATTAAATGGCAAAGGCATTTACGAATTAGGAATAAGTAGGTATATATTATATTTATCCATGAAATTTGTTAAGTCACCCTCGAGCTATTAGATTGTATATTACTATATTATGGGTGCACCGTAAGTAGATAGACAGCCACCAGATATATTATTATAACCAACACCAGATCTAATAATCGAGTAGGCCTGAGGAAGACCACGCACTCGTTTTGTGGCTTACTATATTGAAAGTTTAATACTAGAGTGATGTTTATTATTTTATATGTAAGGCAGATATAGTAATTCATTTTCATTTGTTTGATTGTTTAGACCATTGACATTGCATAGAAATATAAAAAGAGAGTAGGCAGTTTAGATCAGATTCATTGTCATATTTGGGCATACGTTTTACTAGTATAGTGTAAGGGAATGGAAAATAAAATAAAATGATTGGTATAAAGTCCAATAGAGAGTATGCATGTTATCTGCAGACTAATAACAGATGCAGTCCATTGGGTGGTCGGTGGGTGGATGAATATTTGACTCCATAATGTTTCATTTACCACGTTACGACTCACTGAACTGCCAAAGGGTATAGGTTTTGGTATTTGAGATTTATTGCATGTATGGCATATTTTTTAAAGTTCGATTATATGTAGAGTGGTCGACAGCAACAGGTGTCTGTAGCCCTAATTATTGATACAGATACCTATTCGGCTAAACTTCTGTACACTAAACGTGCTTCAAATTGTATAGTTTTTGAGACCTACAGTGAAGGCGGTTCCTAAGGAAGTAGTTGATGCAATAGAGTTCAAAACATTAAATCTGTTATCTAGGTATAAAATATAAGGCAGCTCCAAACTGTAAAGTAACTTTAGTGCAATCAGTATACATTTGGAGGACGTATAATTTCTAATTAGTTTGGCACATGTGGCGTGCAGACTGCGATTGCGAGTGAAATAGAACCGACCTAACATTATAATATTATTTGTAAAATCAAATCGCCCTTATTACACGTCGACCCATATGTCCGTCGTATGATATTATGTTATGATGGGTAAATAAATATTATATAAACACATAATATTAACGTGCGCCGCGGTAACACAATATGGAGAGAGCAAATGTGGGGAAACATTGTAATTTTATATTCTTTTAATAATGTGCCGTTAATGTTTTCGATTGAATATTATATACGTTTATATAATAATATAATAGTGTCTCATTTTTCTGATCTATATATCGGAGGACTACACCCCTATAGCCACGTACCTACGTCCCTCGTCCCTCGTCGTCAGAGACGTTATAATATTAATACGACATTCGAGTCTGCGTGGCGTTTAGAGCATCAAGTTCCACACATATAACATGTAAGTATTATGTGCAGTGCGTGGGACGGCGGATGGAAACCCTTCGCGACCGTTTTGAATTGTTTACCGCAATTTGTGACCCCTATTTGTCTGGTGCACACAAGCCGGGCGTTTGTCTACAGATGACTGTTCGGGACTCAAGTGTCTGTCGAATCCAAATATTTAATTTTCCAGCCGTCAGGAGTATTTAATCCGGCACCCCGTTTTACCGCAAAAACCTATATAATATTATGTTATTATGTGTGTGTACACTATCCACCTCTATATATAATATGATTGTTGAATGGCAATAATAACTGTACGCGGAGCACACTATGCGATTTATATGTATAGTAAACACTTAAAAGAAAAAGGGTCCAATTCCACGGTTTGAAAAATATGTTTATTTCTGTTCCTAATGTGCATAATTTGTTTTTCTTCCAATAAAATAAACAATTTTGGCACATATCTAAAGTTTAAAATACCTAGTCCTTATTTATATAGGTAAGAATTTTATTTTTTTTATACTTAAAATAATTTAGGCAGCCGTACGCTTACATTTATTTATCACAATTAAACAATCGTAATCTAATTTGTTAAAACATAATAATAAACCAACAATAATATAACTGTGGTATTAAGATCAGACTGTTTGTATTTTGTCGTGTCATGTTTTTAAAAAACCTGACAATTTTTACTACATATTTTAACCTACAATTTAATTAGTAGGTGTGGTCCTAACTCCTAAGCCTAACAGCTAACTGTCACACGAAAGTATGGTAACCGCGTTATGCTATACGGCCGTATCAATCATTTATTAATTTATTATACTTCTTTAATATTATAGTTTAATTTTTATAAGAGCTTATGATGACATATTTTAATGAAAAATGTTCTATTATAATAAAGATATTTAGGTTTAATGTAATAACCATTGATCTTAGTATCTTTATATATTACTATCTACATAATATATTAATATAGTTTGTTTGCCTTATTGGCGATATAGCTGATTTTTTAATCTATTGAAGTACTTATACTGGTTGATATACTATAAACATGTTGAAATTGATTTTGTTCTCACCCATAAAAAAAATAAAAAAATATTCAACTTATGCTAAATCTAAAGTACTAATAACACTATCGTGTATACGACGTAAAATGTATTTTAAGTTTACAAATTTTTAAGCTAACAATTTTCGTAAATCTTGATGCAATTTGTACCCATTGAATATGTTTAAAGTATATAAAGTACATTTTTAAGTTTTATTAATTATTTTTCAAGTTATTGCCATTATATCAGTACAACTACTTTTAGATAATTTATAGATATTTTATTTATTTTATTTATTTCATTTATTTTATTTATACGATAACAATTTTAAAAATAATATGTCATATGGGTTGTACATACGATATATGCTATACATACTATAATACTGTATTTAAGTGGTGCACACTGTGTAAACTTGAGCTAAAATGGAATATCAATTTACAAGGCACTCCGAAAATACGAGCTTTTCGTTTGCACGGTCAATAAAATTCCCCTCTGTACAGTGGAATGCAATACTAAAACTAAGTCATAACTATACTACTCTGTGTACCCTCTTTTCCGGTCCAAGTGATGCTAGCACACTTCCACCCTTTGGCATTAAAAAATAACGTGAATTCGCCAAACAATACTTCCGCATACAATCCGTCATACCGCAAAAACTTTTGCCATCGTCGTTGGTTCGAGTTTCAGAAAATCTATGTACTATTCTGCCACCCCTGAAAAATAATCAAACACTATTTAAAACAGTGAAATATATTTATTATTACTTACAAAATGTACCCTTTAATTAATGTATGAAAATAATAACATAATATTAATTATATATTTAAATTAAAATTGAAATTACGAAGGTACTGCTGAGATGCCATCAAATTTATTGTTCTAAATAAATACCATGAATTGTTAACTATTAGTATGTGGGTACAACATATTATTATTAATATTAACTTATTAACTATAACATCATATGTACACAAAAAAAACAATACATATATTTATATATTTGTGTATATAAGGCAGTGGTTCTTAACCTTTTTCGAATGACAGAACACTTAACATTTTATAAGATTTTCGTGGAATACAACCGTAAAATAAAATTGTAGTACATACATTTTTCATTTTTTAATATATTAAACAATTAATGTATAGTATAAAATTGTTTGCATGCCATACATGTTGGTGTTTGTCACTAAAAAATAATAAAATAATAAAAAGAGTAAAAAAAAAATTAAAAATTTGAAATTGAATACTTTGTATGAGATATTTGTGCCTGATGATTTTTACAAATATTTTCAATATTTGGCCATATGTACGATATTGCTACTCTCATTTCCTCTTCAATATTTGTCAGTCTTTCTCATTTCTTTGTTTTGATATTCGTCAATGTTTAAAATCCAAATTCACACAAGTATGAGGTTGAAAATTGTAATCAAATTGAAATTGCTTTTTTAGAATTTTTTTTAAATTCGGTTTGAACTGAAATCCAAAATTCTTCTACTGTTCTTTCGAACAATTTTATTTTTAAAGTTCGATCTGTTGTTAGCGTTATGAATTCTTCCTCTTCTTCTAACGTAAATTCATAACTTGACGTGTTGATAGTAGAAAATGGATTTCGTATCCAATCATACTTTTCAATATTCAATTCAGGAAAGTATTTTGTGATTTTTTCTTCTAATAAAGCAAATGTTCTGTTATAAAAGGAATTATTTCATTATTATTTTGAATTGAAGGAAACATGTCTACTGTATTTTTTTGAATTATACGTGTACTCCAAAAAAATATTTTTTTTTTAATGTTAATAATTTATCCGTGGATTTAAGAATATTTTCGTTTTTACCTTGCATACCAGCATTTACGCTATTTAAATAATTAAAAATATCAGCTAAATATGCCATTTTAACACACCAAATATCGTCTGTAAGAAAAAATATAAAAACAATGTTACCTTCGTTATAAAAAAACATTAACAATTCATTCTTAAGTTCCAGAATTCGATTTAGAACTTAACCTCGCGATAACCATCTTACTTCACAATGTAAAAGTAAACATACGTGCTGAGCTTACATTGATTAACACAGTTTTTTAAATAGGCGTGATTGTAATGGACGCGATTTTATGTAGTTAACCATGCTTACAATTGGATCCAATACGAACTTTAATGTAACAGGTAATGTTTTCGAAATAAGTGATTCTCGGTGTAAAAAACAATGTGTAGATATGATATTAGGATTTTTTTTCTTCGCCAATGTTGTAAATCCTTTAATAGAACTAATCATCGAAGGAGCTCCGTCGGTGCAGATTCCTACACATTGGTCCCATGTTATGTTACATTTATCTAAATATGACGAAGTAGAATCTAAAACATTCTGCCCTGTTGTACGTTCAGTAAGTTGTTTACTGCATACAAATTGATTCACTATTTTATTTTCATCAATGAAACGAACAAATCCTAGTACGTGAGCTATACCACTGATATCAGTAGACTCGTCAATTTGCAAAGCGAAATATAATTTATTAGTAGTAAGCTTGTAAGTGACAGTTTTCTCAATATCATCTGACATGTGTATAATTCTGTTTTTTATTGTATCGCCTGAATGCGGAATTTTTATAATTATTTTTTTTGCATCATCGCCAAACATAATTTGAACTATTTCTGAACATACCGGGAAAATCAAACTCTCGGCTTATATTATAAGGTAACAATTTTTACAAATTGTTATAAGTTGACACATTTTAAAACCAAATAAATACATTAAACAAAAAAAATAATATTTTTGGTTTAGTATTGATTGAAGTTGAGTAGAAATAAAGTAGTAAATAATACTAAGTCTAAAAAATAGTACATTATAAATTTACTTAAACAATCTAAATGATCCGGTATTGATCGCGAATTCAATTAATCACCTGCATACTTGATGGCCGGACAAACTTTTTTAGTTTTTTTAGTTTTTTTTTTTAAAACGTAAATTATTTTACTACGTATTATATTTTCGAGTTTTATGTTTATTATTTTAGACTATTCAAAATAGGCGCCAAATCTTATTTATATATTTTTAAATAACGCATTAGTGTTGTTTAATTTAATTTAAAGTTAAATATTATGGTTTATTCCTTTTAAAAGTCTATTTCATTCCCGTATGATAGTCGTATTTTCGTTTATAAAATAAACTTTTTAAAAGGAATAGCGCATAATTTTTAACTTCAGCTTTAAACTTATGTATTTTTAACTATGGACAGTGTAATGTTCAATTTATATTTTATTTAATTTTTTCAACTTAAATTTTTTATTTGTATTTAATTTTTAATTTATTTTTTTTTTTCATTGAACTTAAGCCCGGAAACTAAGGCCATTACCTGTTATAGGGGTTATGAACTGTAGTAGGGGTAAGAGGTTGGTAAGGTAGGTTGTTTTTATATTTGTTAGGGTTGTTACGGTTGGTAGCAAACACGTGTATGTGTGGCAAGGTGTTTAACTTCTACGAACCCTGGTGGTCACCCATCCGGGAGCTAGTGGTTGTGGCCGTTACTTACTCCCAGACGCATTCCGCGACTGGTAGCAGCCAACGCGCCACGCCAAGCCACTTTAATTTTTTTATAATTTAATGAATTGTCATTTCGTATTAATTGTTATTAATATAATAACTAGAGAGTTATTAAAAAAATAAATAAATAAGAGCTGGTACCTATTTGATGTATAATAATTAGGGCTGTGAATTTAATGCACTAATGAACCTTAAAAAATACATTAAAAATATCAAAAAAGGCAATAAAAATGCACTTAAAATGCGAAAAACTATAGTACAAAATTAATTTAAAATAGTTTTTAATTTAATTTAAATATATATATTAATATTTAGGTACATGATACTGTACATTTGTACATTACATGCATAAAAAGTGCTTATTTAATAAAAAAATGATTTATGTAGTTATATAGCAATTGTCTTATTTTATCGAAGCATAAATTTTTTTTCCAAACATTTTTTCCGTCAATTGACGGGATTGGATTAAAAATACCGGAAAATGAACAAAAAAGGAAAATATGACCTAAAAATGCCCAAAAATGACCAAAACAATCAACGTCAAAAAGCAAAAAAAAAAAGCAAAATAAAAGTTGCATTAATGGATTCGTAGTTACATAATTCAAATTAGATGCTTACAAAGCTACGTTTCTCAATTACCAAAAAAATGCACTTTCCTACAAATTCGCAGCCCTAATAATTATATATGATATAATATGTAGTGTAATAAAATAACTATTTTTTTACGTTTGTTCGGTGATCAATTATCCTAACGATCAATTGTATTCGAGATCAATTCGCTGCGACCCAAATGATCCTCATACAACCACCATTCAATATTAGTGTTAATTCCAATAATACTCAAATAAAATTTAAGCGAATCGATGTAAGGGAATAATTTGTATAAAATGCATGATAAAATTCATCATCAGATGAATATTTTTTTTAAATGTTAATAATTTATGATGATATATTTGAACTAAAATATATTAGAGTCAATATATTCAGGTATTTAGAAAACTAAGAAATACTGAATGAAAATTGGAAATTCTCTGATTTCACACAACCATCAAAATTAAACTTGAAAGTTTTAACAATATTGTCAATTAACGTATACTCTTAAAAAATATTTACATGATATTGTACTTAGGAGTTGTAGTACACTCAAGCATCATAATGGTTTTATGGCAGTTAATCAGACCGAAACAGTATCTTATTAATTGTATAGTTTTAATTTATGGTAATTGTGTGCAAATCGCAAATTATTATTTTACCTACCTATTGTTTTATTATATATTATTTTGTACCATTTATTTACTTAAATTATTACCTAAATCAGAAACCAACTATATATATAAAGGCATACAGACTAAGTACTAACATATATTATATAAATAGAATATATTCCACAATCCACATCAATTTCAGTATTACACTTCTCCGACAAACCTTTTTTTTCATATTGAACGAAATCTGCGTAGTCCTATAAGTAACTTATAATAATAAAAAAATAAGGTGCGTTTACTTATTTATGTATTCGCCGATAATATATTGTTTAACGAAATGTCAAAACTCTTTGAAAAGAAAAACCAGAATAAAACAGGGATATGTGGAATAAGAACCAAGGGGACATTATGTCACCCTACACAATTGGCAAGGGATTCTACGTTTTATTTTGGTTTTCAAACGGGAAGTTAAATTTTTTACCGTCCAGTAAGTCCGTTATTTATGCTTATTTACATATCAATAGTAAGAATTGAAATGCCGAATAAATCCAATAACATATTGAATGTTAGTCAAATCGACCTTCAATTTGTTTACAAGTAATCGAATCAGATTATCAGAACGTAAATAAAATAATAAACCATTGTTCGCCGTAGTTGTTTAACGTATAAAATTTCTAGAATATTTCAAAACATGACTTATTTATAAATAATGTCAATTTTTAAATCAGTAATAAGAATGGCAAGCGTAAGTTATTTTAGTAGTAGCTGCAAATTTAATACTTGCAGTAAAACCTTAAATGCCGTAGTTATAGGTACCTACGCTACACCTATCTACCAACTGATTGAAAATTATAAATTTCGACTATACAATATATAGGTTTTTGTATTTAAGTGTTTATTAATTATGCTTTTTTTTCTTAAAGTTTCGGAGAAACTATTTTTATTTTTCAAATTATAGTAAATTATACAAATTATACTATAATTTTATGTAACATTTTATGATCAGCCGTGAATGCACGTATTTTGGTTCCTGTAGGCTGTAATCCGTTAAATGTTCCTGGAATTATAACTTTATTCCTATTACGCTTTACTAACTTGCTGTTCTTGTTTAACATCTTATGAGCTTGAATTCAATATTTCTGTCCGCAAAATCCAAGCACCGCCACCTACGAGTCTTTTGAAACCCGAGGATGTTATATTATGAATATTCGTCAATGGCTGTGCTCTACAAGTCATGAGTCGTGTGGGAGGTATTTAATAATAAAACATGTTGATTATTTTCACTCCTCTAACTCCTTTAGTATCTTGTAGATTTAAACTAGCTGTCGGTAAAAGGTGCACGAGTCAAATGAAAATCGTAAATATAAGTCATATTATATGCATAGTCGTAAATCTCATTGTTTTTTTTTAAATTAAAACAAACATGGTTAAAAGTTTTCATATAACTTAAAGTGCTCATACTTTCTGTTGACCGAGCTCCAATCACTTGGTGTTGAAAAATATCCTGGCAACCACCAGAGAGGATATGAGGGCGCACTTCACAGCAAATCCGGCGACCTGTGACTGGCCGTTGTTGAGAGTGCTGGGAGCTTGGAATTCGTTGTCATTGTCTACTTTACGGCCGTTACAAAAGCTAGTTGAGCAGACATTACAAGCGCCGTCTCTTTCATATTTGGATTTTACTAAGTCACAAGCGTTTTCACCTGTACCCTTCACGCAACCACGTAATACGCTGACATGTTTAGGAGTAACTGTCGATTAAAGCGTCCAAGAAGAAAAATCAATTGTGGCAGCGTTATCTTATTTTAATATTCACTTACCTTTTACACTGAAAAAGTAACAAACAGAAGTAGTACTATCACAAGACGGGCTAATCGCAAAATCATGACCCGGTCTACCTATCTTAGTCATATTTCCACATGCTGTTATATTTTTCTCCTCGCATGCGTAACAATCTATATTCGCTGCCATGTCTATAAATACATACCACTAATTATGCATATATTATATATTTATATAAGTATTTATCATATCAAGCAAAAAGTAAATTAAAAAGCGACAAAACTACAATGCACGCTAGTTATCGATATAGTTACCTACAACATATTAAAAAGTAGGTATAAATGTATAGTTAATAATTACCTTTATATCTATACACTATACCAAACCGTTCATTTAAGTAGGTGTAAGATAAAATAGTTAAAAAGTAGTATACTCACTCTGAATAAAAAATCCACACAGACTCATCGTGGCCACCATTGCTACTGCAAAAGATTTCATGTTTGCGTTAAGATGAAAAGAGATAAAAAACTGAAGTTGTCAAAAATTAAAAAAAAAAAAAAAATATAATGTAAAAAAAAAATGTTTTCTTTATACGACTGTTTTCGTGGGCGACAATAATGCTCCACTAAACTTCGAAGTAGACCGAATACCGAACTTTAGTATTAGTATCCATGTATATATTTTGATGTTGATATCTACAGATAAACATTCTAATTTGGCCATATATGGGAATTGATTTTATATTATACAAGTACGATTTGTTTTTAATTGCAAATATATTTTTATACCTATAGCCAGCTTACATTATTATACTAAGTACATAATATTACAGCGTTAGGTTAGTTTTTGAATAACATGGGACCTCTTTGGTCAATTTCAGATATGTCCTGTAGCAAAATGCAAATTATTTAACGTGCTATGAGACTAAAATACACAAACGTAACTATAATCGAGGGGCGACAATCCAAAACGTACTATTTCCAAAATTGAGAAAATTGAGTTAAATATTGATTCTCGTGGAGAAAAATACGG